AATAATAAATTGTACATTGTAATGTCATTACAGTTGACCTTTGAAAAATGAGGGGATTAGGATTTCCCACCCCCCATGCAGTTGAAAGTATATGTATAACTTTTGATTCCCCCAAAATTTAACTACAGTCATTCCTTAATATCTGAAAAGAATTGGTTACAGGACCTCCCCCCTCCCTAAACATCTGGAGTAATAGCGAATCTGCAGGAATAGGGGATCCACAGGAATAGGGAATCTACAGATGCTCAAGTCCCTGATATAAAATGGCATAAAACAGTGCATACAAGCATCTTTCCACATACATGGATTCCCACCTGTGGATTGAAAATACTGTTCGTTAAATCTGGGACTGCAAAACCTGAGAACGAGGAGAGCCAACTACATTGAAAAAATCCTTTTTAAAGTGCAGCCTTGCAGTTCAAACTCCTGTTGTTCAAGAGGCAACTGCATTATACACACTGCAATGATTTGTTCACTTTTCCGTCTCCTGAACAAAACTGGGCAGGGATTTTTCTTACTCATCCTAGCACTTCCAGTATTTAGCACACGGCGCAATGCAGGAAATGGACAAATTGATAAACTTGCTATTGAAAAAGATGAGTGAATATGAAAATATGAAAAAATATAAAATCTATTTTCTAACTTGGGGAGAGGGTAATTTTCTTACACTTTTCAAAATGTCCATCACTTAAATATATAGATGGCAGATGCAGGCAGCTCTTTTCATTTATTTTGTTTAGAAATAGCACATTTGAAAAATACTTTTGAAATGTTTTTTCTAAATATGTGCAATAGGAAATCTTGTCCATGTGGTTTAATTTTAATTTTACTGTTCTTTATGTTAAAGTAACTTCAGAATAAACTTATTTACCTAAGCTCTTACTAGAAAAACATTTGTATTGTTTACTATTAAATTTTAATATAAATGCTTCCCAAAAGAATGCATGCCTGTTACTGGAGTAGCGCAGCATTTTGACAACTACTGATGCAGTGCAGGGAGAGCATGCTGTAGGTCATTCTTTGGCCTCGGGTCTCTTGCTTTTACCATTTTCATAATCTCTTTAAGCCTTGATTTTTTGATCTAAGAAATGGCAATAAATTTTAGGGTAACAGCGTAATTGAGATTTAATTCACATACTTTATAATTCACACACTTAAAGTATACAATTCAATATTTTAATATAGTCACAGATTTACACAACCAGTACCACAATGTAAGTTTGGAACATTTTACCACCCCAAAATTTAGTCCCATGCTCTTTAGCAGTCACCTCCATTTCCTCCCAGCCCTTTCAACCTGAGGCAACCAACCACTAACCTACTTTCTATCTCTATAGATTTACCTATTCTGGACATTTCATATCAATACAACCATACAATATGTAATCTTTTATGACTGGCTGTTTTAAGTAACATGTTTCCAAAATTCACCCATGTTGTAGTATGTATCAGTACTTCATTCCTTTTTATGGCCAAATAATTTTCCATAATGCATATACACATTTTATTTATCAATTCATCAGCTGACATACATTTGAGTTATTTTCACTTTTTTAGCTATTATAATGCTGCTAGGCACATTCTTTAGAAGTTTTTATACAGCTGTATGTTCTCATTTCTCTTGGGTATTATCTAGGAGTGGAATTGGGTCATAAGTTTAACATTTTAAGTAACTGAATCTGCAATATTTGGATGTGTATAGAATAGATGTTTTAAATGAGCATCTAGAACCATACTCTGAGTTTCAAAGGGCTGGGTTGGCTTAGTACTGTCTTGTAGAGGAGTCCTGTCAAACACTTTTGTCTAGTGATGAGAACAAAGATATAGTAGCCAGTATAAGCCCTATAGCATTGTGCAGATTTGAAATGAGGTTCTGGGTTATTTCTGGGGACTCTGCCAGGTTTCAGTAGATAATGGAAAAGGCAATTGGATATATGAATTACCTAAAAGAATTCATCTACTTACATGATATAATTGTTTTTTAACTTCTCAAAGTGCTAGACTTTGGTCATGTTTAATGTTATTACTTGATAAGTGGTGTTTCCTCCAATAATTCTTGAAATACAGTGACCATATGTTGTCTCAGTTGGAGTGAGCAGTGATCCTAAATATCCTAAATAAAATATCAAATACACCCAATCAGTGTAGTTAAATCTGAGTTTGGTGCCTTCTTGTGGCTCACTCCCGACTGCTGGCTCTTTCCTTACAGCGCCCTTTGGTGGGCTCCTCAATGACAGCTCACCTTGCTGAGGACCTCTCTCTGTTTCATTTCCTAACAGTGGGGGAAAAAATCTGTGGCTGACCACTTAGATGGTCCACTTAGCTTTGGGTTTGAAAATACAACCTTTTAAGATAATTCACGTTTGGCTACCTTCTGTGGCATTTATATGGCCCACAGGAAAATTTTCTTGCAGAATTACAAGTACAAGCCACTTTTCCTGCCAACACACTCTCTCTACTTGGTCATCAAAGACCTCTTTGGATAGTCGATTGGCTTTAGACTTTTCTAGGTAACATAAATTAATGTGCACAGAGGTTGAGTTGTCTGAGTTTCTTAAGGCTCCTTCGCTCAGCTTGCGGTAGGGATAGGCTGGGATAAGCACTCTCTTCTCCTCACTCTTGGGTAAAGAGAAGGAAAATGCACAGCATTCCAGGAAACTACCTGCTAAGCATTTTCATTCTCCAGTCTTTTATTAAAAATCACTCTTGCCATTTCATTCCCTGGAAGTATGTGAGGACTGAGGATTGCTCAGTGGAATTCACATTCCCCAAACGTATCCTGTGTGGAAGGTCTAGCATCATATTTTAGAATACACAAGACACTGGGCATCGGTTTTTCTCAACTATGGAGCGTCTGCCAAAAGACATGAAAAAGTCCCACTTAAAATTCCAATATCTTAAAAGTATTTGCCAGGATTGTACTAAGTTTTTAACCATTTTTATAGTATCAAGGGGCCCTTTGACATTCTGGTGAAGCCTATGGACCCCCTTCTCAAAGTTATGTTGCTATGTGCATAAAACAAAATGTATAGGATTACCAAAGGAAAAAGAGTCTATGGGGATACAAGTAATTCAAGTTAAAAAGTTACCTAAGAATCTTAGTGATTTCCAGTTATCTTCCCAACAACCCAATGAGGAAACTGAGGCATAATGAGGTTAACTGCCTTGCCTAAGACCACATATTTAGTGACAGAGAAAGGATTCAAACTTTGGCAATCTGACCCCACAGCATTGTTCTGACAATATGCATATAGGATCCTCCAAATTCATTAATGGTTGAAGTAGCAAGTACCTCAGTATTAGGACTGTAGAAAGAACTAGTACTACTCCAGGAACTCCAGTCCCTGGTTTGGTGAACATTACATGACTTTAGCTATCTGGGGGAGGGACAAACCTTTATAATTAATCCAAGCCCCATTTTCTCCCCGGGCCAGGATACCAGAAGACCTCAAGTCCAAATATGAGACTTTGGCCAGCTGCTGCCTATCTTAGAATTTAAGCCACTATTTTTTTTTCCTCATAGCTAACAGCACCTTGGTATACCCAGTAATGATACAATTAAATATTCTGGCAACCCAGAAAAAGGGAGGCTTGGAGGAAATTACATTGATTTAAAAAATAAATAGAATATGGCATTTCTTATTCTCCTGTTAAAGTGTAAAATTCATACTCAGTATGTAATAATATCTCTCTCATGTTTATTGGAAATTAAAGAGGATAATGTTCTTAGAGAAGTTGCTTTAAGTGGTAGTCATCATTATTACTGCTCTTCCTATTAGACTGAATGTTTGGAATTTGTGGGAAATAGGGAGGAGGCAGAAGAGAAGAGTTGGAGGAATAAACAAAAATAGCCTTACAGATTCCAGGTTTTTCGAATGTCAAGAGAACTATTTACTTCATATATGTAAAATATTTCCACATAGAACTCAATCTGTGCATTTTTACTTATTATTAATCTAGTAACATCACATATTGGTATTGTTATTCTCCCTATTTTCCACTTTGACTAAATAAGAATTTCGAAAACTAACAGAAATAATTGTTTATTCTAGTTCCTTAGATCGGAATAGTAACATTTGACCTTATGTTTTAACTATCCTTACAAAAGTTATTTTGGCTTTTCACCACAATAATTTTTAAATCTGCAGTTCTGATGTAATCTTTTGGCTTAGGACTGCACATAAAAACAGCATCTCGTTTTGTTGTCCTCCCCTCCAATAGTTTACTGTGTATTAAGCAGAACCTCAGAGCAGTGAACTATGAGCCTCATCGCTCATAGTTGGCCATATTCACATATTGTTTGGTAGTCTAATTCAGTAGGAAATGTGGAGAAAAGCTAAACAGGAATTTAAATCAATAACTTCATCATCGATACAGGGTTCGAATGTCTCTTGATATTTATTCGTTTAGGGGCCGAGGGTCTATAGTAGTAGAAGTTCTTAATCTGGAATCTATGAATTCATTTCTGGTATCTGAATGTATATGAGGTTGCATCCCCAAAAGACTGGCTTGCTGTGAGAGGCTGCCTTGGGCTTCAGTGAATTTTTTCTTTCTTTTGTTTTTAAACTCTGTCAAACACCTTTGCCCATTTCATGATTGGTGATTTAAAAGCACACCTGCCAACACCGCTGAGTGTTCACACACAAACACACATACACCTTTTAAGAATGTATAATTGCGTGTATATGTGCATTTTTCTGAGTGAAAGCCCCCATAGTTTCCACGAGATTAGCACAATGGTCCTAGATACCACAAAAGGTTACGAACCACGATGGTAGCTTTTGGCAGCATTGTGAAAGGATGCAATTCTTCTGACCTATTTTCTACATTCATCTTGCAAGCACCGAGTGTGGGGGCTCTACCCTAAACAAAAATGGCGGAAGTTGCTTCACACGTAGCCCCTCACGCAGAAAGGCTAGACTGCCCCGCCACTTTCTCTCCACATTCCCACTCCTGACCCCGGAAGGACTCCGCCCTTGCGGCCGGGCTGCTGCGGCTCAGCTCCGGGCTGCGGCGGGGAAGCAGGCTTGGGCCGGTTGCACCTGCCTACAGTGGCAGGTACGCCGGGCTGAGGCAGCGGGGGCGGGGCGGCGTAAGGGTCCCAGCGCCGGCCTCAGCCTTCTGACTTGGAGCGCCGGTCGGAGGAACCGAAAGCCAGGGGACTTCCCACCCCTGGGAAGGCCCGCAAGGGAAACGCAGAATCGGGGTGAGCTCCCGACCGCTCCGACCCCGACTCAGGGTCTCAGGTCACTAAAGCCGAGAGGGAGCTTCTTTTTTTGCTCCTCTTGGTAAAGAAAAAGGAAGACTGCAGATGAGAGCGCTGTGGGAGGTGGGGAGTCTCGCTGGAGGTGGGGAAGCCGCTGTGCTCCAAGCTTCTTGAATTCCAGGGATTGGTGCAGGGATTTTGAATAGGAAAGTTCCGCTTCCTTTGAAGATGCTTTGGCGTCAGGAGGATTGTGTAGGATTCTTGAGCCGGAGCCCTTCTGTAAATGAAGTCATTTAATATTTCACCGAGGGGTGACTCCTAAAGGGTTTTGCACTTGCACAGACTTTTATTATTATTTTCATCATTGTGGAAACTGATCATTTTTGCTGTGTACCTTCTCATAGTTCGGTTGTACAGATTTATGCTTCACTTCAAATTTTGGGAGGCATTTCAGACTTTCGTTCTTGTTTGAATTATGAATCCAAGTTGTAGAATAGAATTTTAGGGTCTTTAAGACGCAAACTCTATTTCTCACATTTATTTTTAATTCTCCACTGGTTAAAAAGGAGAGAAGCGAGTAATGTTAACATAGTACAATATTTTTCGTACCGTTTTAGGGCCCTCCCCAAACGTGAATAATCATGAAACTACCTTCATGTTGATTTTAATTAATACTTATGAAAGCTTATGAAAGACTGGTTTTTAAGAGTTATTCAGTTTTTAGTGATTAAGTTTTGAATCACTTCCTCAGTGATTTTATTTTATTTTTCATCATTGTATTTTATTGACTATGCTATTACAGTTGCCCTGACTTCTCTCCCTTTTCCCCCACCACCCAGCACCAACCCACTCCCTCAGGCAATCCCCCCGCCACCCGCCATGGTTCATGTCCGTGAGTCATGCATATAAGTTCTTTACCTACTCCGTTTCCTATACTGTACTTCACATCGCAATGGCTACACTGTTACTACGAATTTATACTTAACTCCCTCACCTCTTCACCCATTCTCTGACACTGCCCTCCCATCTGGCCACCTTAAAATGCTCTCCTTACCCATGATTCTGTCTGTTTTTCTTGTTTGCTTACTTTGTTTTTTAGATTCAATTGTTGATAGATTTGTATTGCCATTTTATTGTTCATAGTTTTGATCTTTTCTTAAGTAAGACCCTTTAACACTTCATATAATAATGGTTTGGTTATGATGAACTCTTAAGTTTTTTCTTGTCTGGGAAGCTGTTTTACCTGTGCTTTGAATCTAAAGGACAGCTTTGCAGGGTAGAGCAGTCTTGGCAGTTGGTCCCTGCTTTTCATGACTTTGAATATTCCTTGCCAATCCCTTCTAGCTTGCAAAATTTCTTTTGAGAAATCAGCTGACAGTCTTATGGGAATTCCCCTGTGGATAGCTAACTACTTTTTTCCTCTCGCTGCTTTTAAGATTCTTTCTTTATCTTTAGCCTTTAGCATTTTAGTTATTATGTGTCTTGGAGTGGGTTTCTTTGATCCATGTTGCTTGGGTCTCTGTGCTTCCTGATCTTGCGTGTGTTTATCAAACAAGGGAAGTTTTCTTTCATCATTTTTTTGAATAAATTTCCAACTTATTGCTCTTTCTCTTCTCCTGGCACCCCTGTGATGTGAATGAGGGAATGCTTGAAGTTGTCCCAGAGGCTGCTTACACTATCCTCATTTTTTTGGATTCTTTTTTCTTCTTGTTCTGATTGGATGTTTTTTGCTTCCTTATGTTCCAAATCATTGATTTGATTCTCTGCTTCATCCACTCTACTCTTGTTTCCCTGTAAATTGTTCTTTATTTCAACTAGTGTAACCTTTGTTTTGGACTGGATCTTTCTTATGCTGTTGAGGTCCTCACTAAGTTCCTTGAGCATCCTTGTAAACAGTGTTTTGAACGCTGCATATGACAGACTGCTTATCTCCATTTTGTTTAGCTCTTTTTCTGGAGTTTTGATCTGTTCTTTCATTTGGGCAATGTTTCTTTGTCTCCTTTTTTTTGGCAGTCTCCGGGTTTGTTTCTGTGTATTAGGTAGAGCTGCTTTGACTGTTTCTTGGTGGTGTGACCTAACATAATAGGTGACCTATAGGGTCCAGTGACACAGCCTCCCCGTCACCAAAGCTGGGTACTCGAGGTGCGCCCTTTGTGTGGGCTGAGTACACCCTCCTCTTGTAGTTAGTTGAGCCTTGGTTGCTGTTGGCAGATCAATAGGAGGGATTTACCCAGGTCAGTCAGCTGCAAGGATTGGCTGTGACCACTTACTACCAACCTCCGCCCTCCATGGAGGATCAGCTGTGCAGGGGCAGGGTGGTGGTGCTCTGATGTGGTCTGTAGTTGTCCACTGGGTGTGCTGGCCCCGGAGTTTCCCAGGTGGTGCAGGCCAAGGTCAGACCTCACCTGTGGTCTGCCTGGGGCCACCCTGCATGAGCTATAGAGCAGCCTGAGATGTCTGCTACTTGTGCTGGGATTGGAGATTCCCAGGCAAAGCCAAGCTGTGAATCTAAGCTGGCTGCTGCTAGTGCCAGGCCTGGGACTCACTGAGGCCAACTGTTGCTTGTTAGATAGGATTTAGGAAGTTGTGAAGCATGAGCTGGGACCAACCATTCATATGGAAAAGCAGCTTGGGTATGTCTGTAAGTTGGGTGGGATGGTGTTTCTGGGGATCTCCAAGGCAGGTCAAACAGTGTTAGCCTGGTTGTTGGAGCCTCATATAGGGCAACAGCTTGCCAGCTCTGTAGGGGGAGAGTTTAGAAAAGGGACAATGGCCTCTGCTCACCTCGATGCCGGTCACTTAATTTTGTCCCTGTATGCTGCTGGTGCCTTTCAAGCTGCTACCTCAGTGCTGGAGCTCAGAGTGAGTGAGTCTGAGTAGGTGAGTCTATGTGTGGGTTCTTTAAGAGGAACTGCTCTTAAAGCGGGCCTCCAGAAGTTTCTTCTACTGACTCAATCCCCACTGGTTTTTGCAGCTAGAAGTTCTGGGACTTATCTTTCTGGCATTGGAACCCTGGACTAGGGGTTCTGGTGTGGGGCTGGGACTCCTTGCTCCTAATACATCCTTCCCGAAAATTTATCCACCACATGTGGCTATGGGAGCAGACTGTTCTGTGTCTGCGCCCCTCCTGTGAGTCTGGATGGATATGGTTTCTTTAATTATGTTGTTGTCAGACTTTTATTCAACTCAGTTTTTGATGGTTCTGAGAGATGGTTGTTCTGTATTTTAGTTGTAATTTTATTGTGGCATCTTGACCGGAACTCCTCTATTTATTTTAAGAGAGAGGGGAAGGGAGTGAAAAAGAGAGGGAGAGAAACATTGATGTGAGAGAGAAACATCAATGGGGTGATTCTTTTATGTACCCCATTGTGCCCCAGCGCATCCTGGCTGGTGGCTGAACCTGCAGTCCAGGCATGTGCCCTGACTGGGTTGGAACCGGCGACTTTTTGCCTTATGGGATGATGCCTGACCAACAGAACCACACTGGTCAGGGTGAGAACCTGCAATTTTCTAAGGAAAATTTACTACTTGAGAACTCAAAATTGAAATCTAACTCATTTTCTTTTTGGCTGCTTTGGTGATTAATAAGTAAACGTTAGCTCAAGTACATTTGGCTCAGAATGTCATTTTCTTCAGTTGAGTGTAATACCATAAATAATTAACTGCAAGAAAAGCTGGTAAAGTTAAATTTTAATTTGGAAGCATAACCAGAAATCTTTGTGGTTAATATATTTTTATGTTTCATTTAACGAAGATTAGAAGAGGAGTCATGTCAGAAGAAACAGTAAGCGAATCGCAGTTTTCCTTGAAGACAGCAGCACTAAGAGCGTTAGATCGCCCTCTGTCTTGGTACTCTTCTCTCTCCCAGGTAAAAAATAATGAAACTAACACAAAGTTTAATAATAAGTTTATTGCTCAGAGCATATTTGGTTTATAGTGTTTAAATTTTAATTGAAGTTTTAAATGGTTTAGTCATAAGGTTTATTAAAGTAGATTAAACTTACTTGCTTTTTATTTTGGTTTTTCTTTTTTGTTATAATATTCACAACTCTTAAAAAGGGTTGTATTACTTTAAAAATTCTTCCTATCTTAAGTGAATTTGCTCTGTCCATTACAATTATTATTTTCAGTAAATTGTTATTCAGATTGACCTGTTCTCTCTCTTACAATCTCTAATTTTAATTTTGTTTCATTGTGGTAAAATATGCATAATGCAAAATTTACCATTTTAACCTTTTTTAAATGTGCGGTTCAGTAACATTAGGTATATTCACGTTGTTGTGCGACCAATCTCTAGAACTCTTTCATTTTCTAAAACTGAAACTCTATAGCCATTAAACCAGCAACTTTCCATTCCTTTTCCCACCAGCCCCTTAAACGACCACTATACTTTGTTTCTAAAGAATTTGACTACTCTAGGTACCTCATAAATGGAATTACGCAGTATTTGTCTTTTTGTGACTGGCTTATTTTACCTAACATAATGTCTTCAAGGTTCATTCATATTGAGATATGTGTCAGAATTTTTTTTTATTCCAGGTTGAATAACATTTGATTGTATGTATATACTATATTATGTTTATTTATTCATCTATCACTGGACACTTGGGTTGTTTCCACATTTAGGCTATTTTGAATAGTGCTGTTATGAACATGGCTATACAAATACCTATTCGAGTCCCTCCTTTCTATTCTTTTGGGTACATATCTAGAAGTGAAATTGGTGGGTTATATGCTAATTCTATTTTTAATTTTTTGAACAACTGCCATACTGCCTTTCATAGTGGCTGCACCATTTTTAATTTTTACCAGCAGTGCACAAGTTCTCCAGTTTATTAACATCCTCACCAGCATTTGTTATCTTCTGTTTTTTGATAGTAGCTGCCCTATTGGATATGAGTTAGTATTTCATTGTGATTTTGATTTGCATTTCTCTAATGATTAGTGATGTCGAGCATCATTTCTTTTGCTTATTATCCATTTCTATGTCTTCTGTGGCAACAGTCCTTTTATTCTTAATACTTCTAGTGAAATTTGTACTTTATTATATTAAATAAAAATATACACATAGAAAGCTGCATTTAATTTAGTTCCCCAAAAGTACACCAAGTTTTATGAAATCCAAGATGGTCATTTCAACATTTCTAAAACCTGCTTGCTCCTTAAAATGAATAGTTTCTTAGATTGATAAAATGTACATAGTGTAATTTTAATATGGAAAGGACATTGTACAGATAAAATGTGCGAGAATATTAGTAGTTACTGCTTAGTGTTCACTATGTTTTAGACAATTCTAGGTAATTTATACATATAATGTTTCCAATCCTCAAAATAACCCTGGAACTTGGGTATCTTCATTTCATAGATGTGGAGGCTTCAAGAGCTTAATAAACTTATAAGGTAAAATTGCACATATAATGTGGAATTTGGGCATTTGAGCTTGTACCTATTTGATCCTGAAACCCATTTTCTCCCTTTTTCTTTCCTTTCCTTTAAGGATTATATGCTTAAAGTAAAATTTGAAAAATATGGAAAAGAATTAGGGAGAAGATAAAAGTTACCAAAGATATCTCTATAAAAGCTTATTTTAACTTTCTTTGCATCTTTTATTTCTGCATATGTCTCTCTGTCCCCTATCACTGCCTTTACCCCCAATACCCACGTTCAAGATTATAAAATTGTATATTTTGAGAGTTTTTTATGTCATTAAAAATTCTTTATGAACATAGATATACTATAGCTTATTGAATGTTTCTCTACTTTTGTGTTTTGGGGTTTCAGCAGTTCATTATTTATGTATAAATCCTTGTCCAATTTTTAGATTTTTAGTAAGGTAGATTCCTAAAGATGAAAATATTGAGTCTAAGTGTTTGGTATTTGTTCTTTTATTTGTTTATATTATCATACCATTTGGATGACATTTAAAAAGACGAGCAACAAGATATAGCAGCCCCCACTCTGTGTAAAGCACTGTGCTATGTATTTTAAATCAGGTACATTTACCAACTCATTTAATCATTAAAATGATCCTAAAATATTTAATAATATTATTCTTTAAAATCTATGATTTGAATAACTCATACACTTATGTGGCTCAAAAATAAAACCACACACACAAATACATATATATACATGGAGATGTTTTACTGTTTCTTAATTCCTTCCACTTCATATCTTACAGGATTTCTTTATCCAAATTTCAGCAAAAGCAATTATATATGTTTATTTTCTCTTTTTTTTTTTATAGAAGGTAGCATAATGTAACATACCTCTCTACCTGGTTTTTGTTCTTGTTATTTCCTGTATGTCTTACCATATTAATGCTATATGTAGATCTTTTTCTTTTTTTATTCCTACAGCTATATAATGTCTCTATACTTGAGCATTTGGGTTGCTTCTGATTTTGTATCATTACAAACAATGTTATAGTGAATAAGTAAATAAGCTTGATATACTTCAATTCATACAGGTATAGGTAGAGGATAAATTTTTAGACCTTGGATTTCTGGGTCAAAGAGTATATATGTATTTGAACTTCAATAAATATTACTAAATTGCCCTCCATAGGAATAGCATTGTTTTATACTCCCCAAATTTTGGGATTTCTGCCAAGTGATAGGTAAGAATGGTATTTCACCATAGTTTTAATTTTTATTTCTGTTATATGTTAGGAAGAGCATCTTTTCATAGATTTCAGAGCAGTTTGTATTGAGTATGAACATTTTGAAGGTTTTGCTGGGGTTTTTTTGTTTTGTTTTTTTTTAATATTGGTAAATTGCTTTCAAGATTGACTATACCAACACAGTCTCACTAGTAATATTTGACAGTGCCTATTTTTTTGCAGCCTAGAAATAAAAAAATCTTTATTAGCATTTTATATTTCCTTTTTATGAATTATTTCTGTATCCTTTGCCATACTGATTCGACTATACCACCTGCATTTCAATCCTAGGAATAATTTTCTGAGGCAAAGACTATTGTCCCATGGAATATTTTTTAAAATAATAGAATCATTGCAGGTAAATTTAAAGATACATTCTTTACTCTCAGTCATGGAACTTAGTATCCAAAACTCATTGCATGATATGAAATGCACTAATTACACGATACGGAATGCATTTGGGTCAGTAAACCCAGCCTATGGGACTAATCAAGGCTACGACCTGTTTTTGTATGTAAAATTTTATTGGTACACGGCCATGTTCATTTGCTAATATATTATTTGTGACTGCTTTTGCATTACAAAAGCAGAGTTAAGTGGTTGCAGTGGAGACCATATGTTCCATAAGCCTAAAATATTTAGTACCTATCATTTACCAAAAAGGTTTTTTGACCTCTGTACTAAGAAAACAGCCTATACTTTTGAATACCATAAAAGGACCAAGAAAGGACCACTTTAGAAAGAGGAGAAGGGGGGGAGAAAGATGGAGAGAAACATAGATGTGTGAGACATCTATCTGCTGCCTCTTGCTCACCCCTAGCCGGGTACCTGACCCACAACCCAGGCATGTGCCCTTACTGGGGATTGAACCAGCAACCATTGGGTTTGCAGGATGATGCCCAGACTACTGAGCCACACCGGTCAGGCCATGCTCAGAGGCCTTGTTTGGACAGTTCAGTAGTGTTAGAATTGGACTGACTTTTTATTTTTAAAAGGCATGAGATTTTTTGTTCATTAGTTTAGCCTCCAAAAAACTGACAGTCCATGTTGGGTGTGATTCAATTGTATAATTAATTACACAGTGAGATATGTCCTTGTGACTGAAGTAATTTCAACACATGATATATAACATGCATGAATTTAAATATATCTTGTCTGATGCATTTTGATTCATATTCCAACACTGTGGAATTATTTGATTGAGTAACTTTGGCAAGTTAACCTCTTCAAAGCCAATTTTTATCATCCACAAAAGGGATGAAAAACCTAGTGTCCAGCACACAGTAAAGATGAGTGAGCATCCCAACAAATACTAACTCCTATTTCATTTCCCTGTGTCATTCATTTATTCAAGGAACAATGCATTTTCCAAGTGTTTTTTCTTTACTTAATGAATACATACTCTAAACAAAATACTTAAGTCTCTTCAGCTTCTGTGGTTTTGTTAAGGAATTACAATGTATCATTGAAAACAAACTTTTTCAGTTGGAAACCACCACATGAAGGGGTAAGTAGTTTAGTTGATTGTCCAAATTCAGCCTGTTAAGTGAGAGAGAGACTAAGAATTAACTAAGCACTTAAAAATCTGTTTAATTGCAGTGTGGTATCCTGAATTGGTGGAAAAACTGGTGAAATCAGAATAAGGTCTATATTAATAATATTGTGCTAATGTTAATTTCTTAGTTTTGACAAGAGTACTTTGATTATGTATGATGTTAATATCAGAGAAAATCTGAGTAATATGGGAACTTTCTCTACTATGTTTGCAACTTTTCTGTAAATCTAAAATTATTCCAAAATAAGGTGTTTGTTAAAATAAAATATTAAGAGTTCATGTGTTTTGAACGCCTGCTGTGTGTCAGATATTACTGTTATGTATGTTATCTCCTTTCACAACAACCCTATGAGAAAGATACTAATCTTACCATTTGTCCAGAGTTTACAGTTAGCATGTGACATGACGTGTGTTCCAGTTATCAGTTATTTATTCAAAATATATTTATTAAGCATCACTGTGTTTCAGTGAAGTTACAAAGTGTTGAGCAAAATATAGACATAGTCCCTCTCCTTATTGAGCTCAGAACCATCACAAAAAATGAAATATATTAAAAGATATGTGGTAATGCTATGTTAGACTTAAAGGAATAGAGTAATAACTATTAACTAAATAATTATTCTGTTTCCAGAGAGTGTTAGATGAGGGAGGA